TTCGCACTGTTTATTATATCATTTTATTCCAGCCGTGTCCTTTGATACAGAAGCCTTCAAACGTAATTAAATCCAAACGTCAATCCTTATGTTCTTATATTATTCCTTTAATTCTTGATACTCTCACGTTTCCCTGAGTCTTCTCGCTTTCTTCTCATTTTCAACTTTAATTAAACTCTACTATTTCCTCCGGGTTTTATGTCAACTGAAACATCCTTCAACTTCGAATTAAAATACCTTCTACAATTTTGTAGAAAGTCAGAAATTCCAAGGCAATTGCTACCTGATCCGGTATTGTTCTGCAGGTCAGAAGTCCTGAGGATCTATCGATCACAGTTCGCAATATTTACCTGGCTTGGGTTCAACTCCAACAACGATTCCTTCTCCAAGAAGAACGGATTACAATCCTTGCTATGTTCGCAATATCTAATCTCGTCGAAGCACAACGGTCCTCAATCGAAATACGTTAGAACTGAAATTTCGTTTAATCATTAGAAAAACAGTAAATTATCGACGACAGGAAAATGCAATGATTCATCATATTTCATATAAAAAGAATTTCTAGCTAGATCTGAAGTTGGAAATTGCATTTAGATGAATACGTGCGAAAGGCAGCGACGCCATTTCGTTCGGATATGTTCGATACGCGATACTATACATATAGCGTTTGATAAGAGACCCAAGGATTCTATCCAGCTACTCGAGATTCTACGCCGTTACATAGAAGGATATTAGTCTTATGTGCGACTCGCCTCGCCGATTACTCAGCAATGATAAGATTGTTTATAAAATTCTTTCAAAAGGAACTCCTCTCTCTCTGAGTATATTGGAAATGGAACGCTTTAACTCTCGGGAAAAGGAATAAAATGAGCAGCAGCCTCTCAGAAACGGAATTTTCTTTGAGTGGTTACAAGTTGTCCTCTACTTTTTAGTAGTAGTCAAAATATTTAGTACGAACGTGTTCATCATTCACTATCATACAAGTTTTTCTATAAGAAATAAAAACGAAACGAAATTTGTTTGATTATATTGCTAAAGTTGTAGCAATATGAAAAATACGTGTATAGTTGATTACTATACAGAAGCTGTCTGTGTGGATAGTGTTAAAAACGAAATAGCTACGTGGCAGAATGTGAGGCATTCCATTTTCGCCGCGTAGATTTTATATCGCGATAAACAAGTTGGCGAAATGAATCGGTGCATTGTGCCCCATCCGCCATTGTTATAAACTCGTCGTTTCACGCTGTTGCGCTCGCAGCAAGTTTGATCGATTTACTTCTCGAGCTTATGCATAATTTTTGTCCTGCAACGATGCCGGATGATAAAAGTTGGAATTGACTTCTGGTTAAAAAACAACAAAAACCCGGAGCCGACGTAATAATTTTAACCGGTAGCGTATCGCGTTTTTATAAACGGGGAAATAAAAATTGCCCGCGTGGGAAGCTGGACGGGATTAACCGAGGAGAAAAGCCGAGGAGTCTGTTACATTAGTCACGTGTAAATCTACAGGATTATCCTTGCTGTCGTCAAAATTCTCTCGGACACTTTCGCCATTGCTAACAGACTCGCAATTAAGGTTTATCGCTTCTCCAAACGATGGTACATTCATTTCCAACATTCACTGACACAAACCTTTCTGCACATTATCCTCGGTCAGATGACTCATAATTGTACTGATTTTCTCCTTCGACAGATAACGATATCTCGAACGTGAATCGTTTCTCTTAATTACTTGTAGCTTGAATTAGGCTTACAAGAATTCGTCAATTCGTCAGAATGGTCATCGAATGCTTGGATAGTTTCAAAACATTCGAGAGTTAAACTCAGGTAAACCCGAGGGCTGATCTTAAAATATGACGGTGTGCAGGTAAACGAAAACGTACCTGTAGTACTTTGTCCGAAGAACAGCATTATTTACATATTTACGATTCCTCTTCATTTTAATTCTACTCATTTTATGGCGAACTTGAAATTCATATTTTTGGCAATATTTAATGTACAAATCTTTTGTCAAATAGCAGGAAAAGTGATCGTAATTTATGATGTGTCTCGCCTTTCGAGTGCGTTCAACGCCGCTGTAGTTGTAGTAAATATAAAGAAACAGTGGGAGGAAAGTGCGACAGAAACGGTGCTTAACCCTTTTAGTACCGAACGACGATATATCGTCGTTCAAATTTTCAACAAATAATGAAACACAATTCGTAACGTTTTATTCTCCCTTTATTTCCGAATATGCTGCTTTTTATATTTTGTAAATATCACTTCTACTTTCGTTTTTACGAGCATTTTCGCAAACCTCTGCAAATTCGCCGATTCGGCCCGGTATTCTTCGCTTATTGTTAGGTACGTTCTTCTCGCCGGTACTAAAAGGGTTAAATAGAAACTGGTTGCCCGATTTTAATAAAAATTCACGGTATTATCGGACGCTAAACCGAACGGGTGTTCGATTATGGGCGATAAGAGACGGAGCAAGCGGTGGAAAAATAAGATTACGGGCTCGTGGGAGGTGAATGTTTTCAGGGAAAACACGTCGAGCCGAAAATCTGTTGCTCGTGAACGCCGGTATCCTTAACGCATCGAGAACGACCACCGTTATTCTCTATTTGCTTAATGAGTCGAGGACGGCGGTGAAAAATGGCGTCTAATCGGCTTCTGAATTCTGATTCCGTGCGCGTTACGTAAACTGGCTGGCTATCAATCTCGTGGGCACCCGTAGCAACTTTTCCATCGGGACGAGTACCGTTTCACTGGTTTAGGAAAAAACGAGCCAAAGGAATTTCCACGTCGAGCATCGTTATCCTACGGTCCAACTTCGAGCGCGGTTAGACCGCGTTAAAACTCGGCGTACCATTTTCCACGAACGGAACTTGGCTTTCAAACGAAGAGCTCTAGCCGGCTGGCTGCACGCACCGAGTCGACTACGGAATTTCCAGGCCCTCGTTTTAAATATTCATTTTCCCCGATGTCTGGCGTAACAGATATTATCGCGATCGTCGATTACCATCGTTCGATCGGCTTCGCGGCGATCGTCAACCGCCGGGGAAGGGGGGGTGAGCGGGGAGGTAGGGTAATACGCGACGATCGCGACTATTTCACGCACGACTAACTGCTTTCCTTGAAGTTTCGTACCCGGGCTTCGGTGGATCGTAATTTCGAGAAATATATACGGGGTGAATTCCGTTCGAATTACCAATTTCCAGGCGTTTCATTTTCAACGAACGACCATGGACGACGGAGGAGACCCCGCCGCCGTGGAAACGCACACGTACACACTTAGGCTCGCGCGGCTCCACGCATACATATAACCGTACACGTACACGTACACGTATATAGGTAGGCAGGGACAGTCGTCTCACGGGCGAACGTGACACGTCGAGAAATCTATGGCTTCGATAGAGGTACAACGGGAAGACAGCCGGAAATGGGAAATGCGTCGGGCGAGAGGAATCGGAAACCCCTTTCCTCGTCGACGACTTTCCGTCGGCAACAGCCACCATATTAGCGTTGCCTCGAGTCGCCTTTATTGCGCAGCGACCACGTCGAAAAAACTAAAACGCCCCGCCAAACGCGTTCCCGTTTTCGTCGTCGAGGGAAATACAGATATCGGGGGAAACAGAAAAAAAGCTGGATTTGCGATAATTATACGAGTCGGGGAGCAACGGCTCCGTTAACGGTGCCGTTAAATTTCGTCGCTGCGATATGGGACGAGTTTCTCGGCCACGGATTTTCCAATCGATATCCCGATTTCGGGATTTCCTGCCCAGAAACGAGAGCCTCGGACCGTCTCCTTTAATCTACGATTACTATAAATATGTATACTGCCAGCGGGTCTGCGAAATATTTACAGATCGCCAAGGGCCGCGTTCCGTCGCGTCGGGAGGAAAAGGGACGGCACGGCGGCTAGCGACGGTGGACTATCGCGATAATAAATCACGATTTCGACTCATTTCCGGGGCGACCTTCGTACCATCTGCGGCAGATAAACAAGCACGGAGGGACCGTGTATCTCGGACACGATACACACGGGACTGATCGAGCGTCGGGTGTCGGTTTTCTTGGCCGAGATAAATAGAGACGAGAAGTACTTACAGCATCTTCTCGGTAGCCGAGCTAGCGAAGTACATCACTGTAGCGGCGGTAGAACAATAGTCACGGTCACAGTCACGTAAGCCTCCAAGAACCACGATCACAATCAAGGGAGCACTCATATCACTGTCACCAAGCCGCCCTGTCTGCTGATTTTTTCTCGGCAGTGGACGAAGCGTGAACGAGAGAGTCTAGCAGTCTCGCGCGCGTTAATGCGAAACAGAAAACAAATGCGGAGCCGTCCTCGTTCCCGGCTGCATCGTCCTTTAAAACAAGCGAGGATCGCGGAGCAACGGCGACGCGGGTGTCACTCGAATGTTCTCCTTCGTAAAGGGACAAACAAGACACGCACACACAGTTCCTCGACTCGCGAGAGCCACTGCCGTGATGGCAGAGCCGATTCTAGGAGAGAGCAACGCGCTCCTGGCTTGTACCAAATTTAACCTCGCTCGTAGTGATTCGATGCAGTCGAGTTTCTTGACTGAGCGGCCGAACGTCGCCGAGCCGTGCCCCGCAAGAGGACAGCGCCGCCAATTGCAGCCGTGGCGATCGCTAAAGTTACTAGCATTAAAGTCCTGATGTTTTCCCGAAATATTTGAATGAATTAAAAGTAGTTTGCTACGTGTAAATTGATACGTTGATACAATGACGATTTTCCTACTGACAGAAAATCCTGATTACTTTCAGAGAAAGATTGAACTGTCTACGATCTGCTAACAGGCTTCCTCAGGCAGTGAGCTCTCGATGTTCCGAACATGTTATACGAAATCGATGAAGTTTAAATGAACAGATTTATATCGGGATCGCGGAAAATTGATCGAATTAGGAATTTTTGTTATAAGTCATCAGTAAATAACCCAGGCATTGGTCAGCCACGAAAGTGGCGCGTATCCATTGGTCGGGTTTAATGGCGTGGCAGTCAGAGAACCGACGGAAGGGGAGACTACTTTTCAGCGTCGGAGCCGTCGGACTGCAACGGCGAAGCGGCTGGTCTCTCACGCAACTCCTAACCTGACAGTGCGTCCGACTCGATCGCGGTGCATCGATTTTACCTCCTTCGGAAATATCTATTCTGTTGACGAATTCATCGAATAGTTCGCCACCGCTTAACCACGTCTGGCCGCCGGCGGATCGCGACGCGACGCTGTTTTTCCTCGGTGTTCTCCGTCGGCTTTGTACGCTGCCAAACCAAGGACGCGGCGATGACAAGGAGCTGAGAGTTAACCGTGCCCATCGGTATCGTGCATGAGGTAGGAGCTTCGATGTGCCTGCTGTTTGTGTTGCATGGGAAAGCGGAAACGTGGAAAGCTTGGTGCTGGTCCATCGGCTCGGTCCTCACCCTGGCCCTGCTCTTAATCCTAGCAGCGATCCTCTATTCCAAACCGGCTGCAGTGTCATGATCTCATTTGTCAAATAAACTAACCTCGAAGTTTATGTGGAATTTTATGTTCATTTAATCGCACCATTTAAAATTTGTATGTCAATACGGATACGTCGTTGGAATTCGGCCAGTACATGTAAACAAATTCTGCATTAAAATGCTTAATGTACGTGTAGATTCTCTGTATCTGTTGGTTGTATCTTTTAAATATAGACCAGTTCGTGTGTACTCCGATAAGTGTACTTTTTTTTAATCACCGTCGATTATTATTAATGTCCATAAAGGAGCTGATAAATAACTGTGTAATCACGCATATGATTTGATACAAGAATTATTCAACGGGCGTGTGCTTATCTTCCCAGTAAATTGGTCGTAAAATCGACTACGAATTGTATTGACGATTCGTCGTATAATAAATTTGACTGTCTTTCGATTTTTCGCGCGATATTTGTAAACAGGAAGTGTATGATTCATCGTACCGGAACTCGAGCTCAGGGAAATGTATTTTTATATCATAATAAATTTTTATCACGTAATGAGAACGATTTTTAATTGCTTGTTGAATACCCGGCGCAGGTAGGATCATCGAAAACACTGCGTTTTACGGCCTCGCGTTGTACCGTTCCCCGTAAACCGGTTTCCCGTCGGCGTTCTAAGAACTCTATTGAGCTAACGATAAAATTATCCCATTCGACATTTTTACAAACAGCTCTCCTCGTTTTATGAACGTAGTTAAGAGCGCTAGACAAAACGTGTCATTGGATATACTGAACGCCACGTTAAATCTTATCCAGCTGATAGTCTGCGATTCTTAAGAATCGTATGAATTTTATCTCTCGTGACACGGATAAAATCGTCCCTCCAGGTTTGATTTTTTATCAAAATTCCCATACGCTCAAGCCGGTTTACATGTGTACGTACGTACGTGAAAGTAGGATCTATCGCGCGTGCTCGAGAGTGTCAGTGAACTCGGAACTCAGCCGCTAGGCTGCTCACACAATTCCATCCCTCGCACACTTTCTTCCGGCGCGCGCGTGTGTGCACGCCCGCCGGCAGGCCAGGGTATCATCGTCTCCCCGTACAAACATCCTCGGGTAATTCGCCCGGCCCGGCGTGGCAAGGACGAACTTCGCGGATGAGACGGATGTAATTTCCGCTGGCCCGATAAAAGCTCGACCTGTCGTAATTACCGGTGTCCAATTTCAGACGTTTCCCGAGGCGCGTGTATTTTTTTAGGGACTGCACGCACGTACATACAGATGGCCCATGGGATACCGGACCCACTTTGCACATAAAAGACGTGGCGCGTTCACGTATATAGGTCCAAGTAGTAGCGACACATAGAAAGTATTAAAAATAGATAAAGAACGTACACATTGAACAACATCTTCTATGTATGTGTAATCCAAGAACATTTTCTATGTTTGTAGTGGGCCTGGAATCTAGCAAGTATTTCGTACGCTTTTATCGATGTAGATGCTCTTTAGTGAGCGCATATTTTCATCGCACTTTGTCTCTGGTCTTGCATGTATTATCGTTCAGCTTTCTGTACATTTATGGCTGCGACGACCTTCTCGTTTCACCAATCATGCGGCACGAGTCCCTGGTTTATACGTAATAGTTTATCACCGATGGAAACTGCATAAATACTACAATGAATGTGTTAATACCTTGATTCTGCATTCACCAAACGCATTAAGCAATTCATTAATAATAAACAGGCAACGGTGACGTGATATAGTATCGTTTAAATAATCTCGTATCGATAATCGCGTTGCCTATCATAATTAATCGTATCGCTCAAGTTATTGTGAGTTAATAAATTAACAGGTTTTATTAGTC